GGAATTCACCATGCAGCTCAGGCTAAACTCAAAGTCATGGCTCAATAACAGTCCAAATTCTGGGATTACAGGCTTAAGATGCCATGTGTGCATGAATCGCAACTTTTTGGAATATATTGATTTTTTTGATGGCACGCCTTTTAACTTCATCACTCTCCAGAAAACCATAGTGGAAAAAGAGGGATTCACTGATCCTTGTTTCAAAGTTATTTCAGCTTCTATAACTAAAGTAGAACATTGTGAGGTTTTTTTTTTTTTTTTTTAAGATGTAAGAGATGTTACCCAGTTTAGTCTTGAAAAGTGCCCTAGGTCTTCAGAACTGGCACAGTCTAGAAAGCGTTAAGGAGAAGATACGGGTCAAGTAATTTTTCTAAGGAGAAGGTGTCCATTGACAGTGTGGGAAGAACATTCAGCATCCAGTCAAGGAAGTAGGCAGAGCAGAAGTGAAGGGGTATTCCCCCTAACTCCATGGGGAGATTGCTTTAAATACAAACTTCATACAGGTAGATGAGCTGATGGAGGCTCAGAGTCAGACAGAGAAAATGCTCAAGGAGGCCCAGAGTACTAAATTTGTACAGAAAACTATTATTTTTGAGCAGAAAAGGGATATGGTCAATTTGTTTTATTTTTATTTTTTTAATTATTTTATTTTTTGATGGGACAACTAATATAGTTAACTGCAATGCATTAAGCCTTGAGTTTGATCCCAAAAACTGGGGGTAAAAAGACTTGTTGAGCATGCAGTAGAATAGATGGAAAAGGATGGAGACTAGAAACTAGAGGACCAGAACTATTATTCATAGTTCTGAGAGTTGGCAATGCCAAGCCCAGAAAGAGACACATAGAGAGCAAGCCTCAGAAGTCTGCCAGAGCTACCATCTTGCCTAACTCATCTTCTTATCTGTTCTTCTTACTTCCTCCTACTTATACCTCTGCCTTTTTCTTCCCATTTCCTGTAGTTTCTCTTTCCTCAACATAACATCCAGCAGCAATCGGTAACTGACTGTGATTCTGAATGTCATTCAGAGAGAATAACCAAGCAGGCTCAGAGCATAATAGAAGGAATAAAGAAAAGAGAGAAAGAGGATGCATGCAGAGGATTTCCTGTGGACACAGCTAAGGGGGTGATGAGACTAAGCTTTAGAGAGTTCCCAGACTTGGCCAAAGTCACACAGTGAACTGTAACCCCACTCTAACATAATCTGGGACTCATGACCTGAGCACATCATACTAGTCTGCTTCCCTTTCTAACCTTCTCAACCTGCTGTAAGATTTTATTTACCTGGCACCCTCATATTTCTTTCTCGTGGCTCTTTCACTTATCACAGTCCACATTAAAGTGTAGTTATTTGTGTGTCTGCCAAGCCCTAGCACATGAAATGCGTACAGTGGCTGAAGAGTTTGTTTCTGTTGGTTGATAGCAAAGAGCTTTTAATTAGATCATTGTTAGAGTCTCAGCAAAGGCAGCTCAAGGTCTTATTAATGAATATTTTCTACAACGATTGATGAATAGAACTGAACATGTTTGATACCTCTGTGGCCATTATGCTCCATTGAATAATTGATTTGGTTGTCTGCAATACCTAGGATTCTTGAAATTCTTATCATGATCACTGAAGAACAGAAACAGAATGTTATAAAAATGGAATGATAATCGGTCTAAAACAAGTCAAGAGAGAGGGCCAAGAAATACTTGAAGATATGCTCAGTGTCATTAGTCATCATGAAAATGCAAATCAAAACCATGGTGAAAGTTCATTTCACACCCATTAAGATGGTTAAAAAAAGAATCCAGAAGCTCTTGGTGATGATATAAAGAAATCCAACCCCTTGTGCACTGCTGTGCGAAATGTAAAATGGTGCTGCCACTGTGTAAATCAGGTTGGCAGTTCTTCAAAACAGTCCAAAATATAATTGTCATACAGCCCATAAATTTCATATATATATATATATATATATATATATATATATATATATATATATATATATATCCTACAGATTAGAAAACAGGGTTTCAAAGATGTTGTTAAACACTCATGCTTGAAACAGCATTATTTCTAATAGCCAAGAGGGAGAATTAATGCTCATTAATAGATGAATGAGTACACTAAATTTAATCTATTCATAAATGGGATATTTGATTTTAAAAGGAAGGAAATTCTACCATATGCTGCCATATGAAGAAACGTTCATAACTTTATGGTATGTTCAGTCAGCTAGTGACACAAGTGACTAACGGCACAATTGTCTTGAATAGGAAAGTTTATATGAATAGAAATTAGAATGGTGGTTTCCAAAGCTCTGGGGAGAGGAACTTAGGAATTCAGGGTTTTATGGGCACAGAGTTTCAGTATAAGAAGATGAAAAATTCTGAACATGGCTTAAAACACTATAAAATACAGTACAATTGATGATGCAACTGAACTGATGCTTGAGACAATGAAATTTGTTCTCTCTATAATTTATTATAATGAAACCCCTTTAATAATGAAGACAAAATAAATCAACTTTATTTTTATGTGTTTTCACTAGTGACACAATTGTGCCATTATGTGTCACAAGTGTTCCCATTCTACTTCTCCGAACTCTTTCAGGGTAGCTCACTGGGAGCCAGTGAGTTTTAGTGGGGAGGAGAATGCTGTCCCCAGCCTTCTTGATTCCCTACATACATAAGGTGTCGCCTGATAGCCCCTTTACCTTAGTCCTGCTGGAAGGCAGTGTGCCCTTTGAAAGGGGAAAAAAATGGATAAAGAAAAAGAAACCCTGAGAATTGTCTTCTGGGAGCAAAAGAAAACCATTGTACTGAAAATAGCTGCCAGAGTAGCCAGAACAATCTGAGCATGTGTGTTCAAGCACCGTACCAAGGAGACCTCAAGCCTGAACGTACCCACTCACAGAACTCTTCCCATCTCATTTTTTTTCATGGTGCTGGGGTTGGAGATGGTGCTTTATACCTGGTGCCCGCAGCTCTTCGACTCTTTCCCTCCTTTCCCTTCTCTTTTAGCCCCCTCTTTCCTCACCCTTTCTGGGATCCAGACTTGAAATGGTGGCTGTCACCTCAACAACCATGTCTCTTTTGACCTTCCTCTCTGCCCCTTATTTTTCTACTGGAGGGGAAGAACTTATCCAAGGGGGGGGGAGTTCTTTTTGAGGAAGTTAAAATAAAATGCCAAGGAAAACAGAAACTATGAAAAAATAAAAACAAAAATTTTCCCGAAAAATAACTTAGTTTTTCCTTTTATCCTTTCTCCTCCTCCCTCCCTGTATCTCCCTCCATCCCTCCTTCCTTTATTGCTGAGAAAGGGTCTCATTTCACAGATCAGGTTGGCTTGGAACTCAGTAGTCACTTCGTACCCCAGGCTAGCCTTGAACTCATAATATTCCTTCTGCCTAGGCCTCCTGAGTGATGGGGAATTACAGGTGTGAATTACTAGGCCTGCCTGATTTTAACTTCCTTTTATTTAAAAAAATATTTATCTATTATCATCATTATTATTTGCATATGTATATGATGTGTGATGTGTGAGAGTGTGGGGGCACATGCGCCACGTTGTGTGTGTAGAGGTCAGAAGACAACTTGAAGGAGTTGTTTATTACCTTCAGCTGTGGGTTTTGGGGATTGAAGTCAGTCTTGTTCAGTAGGAGCTTTTACCTATTGAGAAAAATCTCACCAGGTTTAATTTATTTTCCTTTCTTTTTCTTCTTTTTGTTTGTTTGTTTGTTTTATTTTGTATGTTTTTTTGTTGTTGTTGTTGTTGTTTTGAGACAAGTTTTCTCTGCGTAACACCTCTGCGCTGTTCTGGAATTCACTTTGTAGACCAGGGTGGCCTTGAACACACAGAAATCCATCTGCCTCTGTATTCAGAGTACTGGGATTAAAGGCGTGCACCACCATGACCAGCCTTAATTTCTTTTTCTTGACATAGCTAAAGTTAAACAGATGATGAGCACAGCATGATTTGATTTTAATGAAGCTTAGAAAGTCTGTATCTTCTGGGGGCTATCCTCTGGCAGTCTGATGAAGTGTATAAACCTTTTCTTTGAATAATATTTTTAAATGGATCAGCAAAACACTCAGCATACAAAGGCAGGCCACTATATTAAAACACCATTATCACATTCCTCACAATATGATATAGTAGCATACATGCGTCTTGCTCTATTCATTACGAAACCAGCTTTGACAGCAGTTTTAATAACTACTGAAATTTTGACGCCATCATCAGCATAAGCAAAATTTTGAGATGCTTTAACAAACAACTCCTTCAGTGAAATGCAAATCTCTTCCATGTCTGCTACTGACAAAACCGCAGGTGCTGCTATCACATCTAAGGCTTATCGCCTACATTCACCATTGAAGGAACAAACACATCTCAACTAGAAGTGAATGACAGTAAATCCATATTTCTTTCCACCAAAATCAAAATTCCCCAAGCTACCCCTTAATCCTTAGTCTATATCCCTCTGGTTAAGAATCTCTGCTCTAACAGGTCATATAGTCTGCTGTGGCTTGGCACCACCTACTTCCTACCCATCTCATCCTTCAAGATGCTCTTATTTCTCCCCACCCAGTTTCTACACTTGCCACTCTAGCTGACTTCCCAGGAAGCCTTGACTTCTGGCTTGATTCTAGGAGCCCGTTAGCCCAACACTGGTCACTGAGTCTGCCGAAAAATTCTAATGTCACTCACACAACCTCAGATTTTACAAAATTCGTCTACAACATTCTTGTAGTAGAGAAATCACCTTAGATCTTCCTAGTAATACCAACTACCACTCTGTCCCATTCTTAAATATGATTCTTTTCAGATAATTTGTAGAGGTCAGCTCTTGAGACTGGGATAATATTTAAACCAGAGCAGTTATAGCTTCATTCCTGGCCTCTGGTCCACCTCCAGAGGGATACAAGGACCTAAGAAGGTGCTGGCACCAGAGCTTCCCTCATGGGGGATGCCTGGCCTCTTTCTGGGCATGTTCCCTGGCATTTGAGGGTTACTCACCTAAAATTGCATAGACTGGAATCCACTGAGATACAGCAAATACTCGGAGGGCTTCCTGCAGATCTAGTTGGGAGAAAAAGGCCATAGTCTCAGTGCTTTCCAGCTGTGGCAGAAAGCTCAACCAGAAGCAATGAGCCACTTAGATGGAGCTGATGTCAGATGCTTTGCTCTTATCTCTTATCATCAGCACTGGTTAGCCACTGAGCTTTTATCAGATTTGACTGAACCTTTCCTCCAGTTTTCCTGACCCGCCCCAACTTCCTACACACAGAAGGTTGTACATTAGACTAATATATGTACCACTAGTTTTGACGAGAAAGCAGTGGCCTTGGATAGCTTTACCTGTTGGGTGGTTCTCTGACTAACTAGTGCAAGAGAATAGAATGGCTTTGTCCACCTTACTTACAGGCTCTACAAAGAAGCTTGCTGCTAATCAAACCTGCTTTAGAAAAGGGATCTAGAGGCCACACTTGCTTCCAAGCTAGTGGCTACTCTGGCTCCTTCAGCTGTGGGCCACCCAGCCCAATAGAGCTGGTGTCCAACATGCATATCTGGGCTTCTCCAATTCTTTTGTGTGCCTCTGTTCCCATGGGTTCTGAATCAGTAGCCAGACCCCACATGGCAAACAGGAAAAACACTGCTGTCAGGTTCCAGACACCTTCTCTCCCCTCCTCATGACTATTCCCTCCTGAAATCAATCAATTTCTCCCACACTATTTGAAAATTAGTGTTGGAAGGCAGTAGAGTGGATAAGATCATAGACTTCAGATCTGAGTCCTGACACTTGTAAGTTAGTGATACCTCGTGCCCTGGTTTATCCATCTGTAAAATGGAGACAATGCCTGCTTCATGGTCTTATCTTGAAGATTAAATTAGTGAATGAGCATTCATTCAATTTATGGATATTGGCCATTGATTGTTTCTGGTTAAGGGTCATGCTTCTGTCTACCAGCCTTTGCAAAATTAAAGATCATACCAAGGTCCAGTTCTCAGAATTTATTTTTTTTCCTGTCATTATCTGCTGAATGATACTGAAGTTACTGTTGTTATGTACTGAAAAGTTAGTGGAAAAGAAGACACACACAATTTCTGACTTCACTAAGCTTAAGGGCTAAGAAAACAGATAGACATATTTTTTTTTTCAATTTTTTGAGACAAGGTTTCTCTGTGTAACTGTTCTGGCTGTCCTGGAACTTGCTCTGTAGACCAAGTTGGCCTCAAATTCACAGAGATCTGCCTGCCTGTGCCTCCCAAGTGCTGGGATTAAAGGTGTGTGCACCACCACCACCTGGCTAAGATAGACATTGTTTTTAAACACACAAAAAAAATCTATACACTTGATTTTGGAAAAGATCAATATTCCATACATAAGGGTTTGAGTACTGAGTACTGAAGTTATTCATTTTTCTGTTGTTTTGTTGAGTGTAACTAAAAGTGTGCCTGTGAAAATGAAACAAAAATGATATGAAGTGTTTTACAAGTGTTCTACCTGGGCAACCAAGCAGAGCTCTTTACTGCTGATCTAAATAATTCCTATGACGCTGCAGAGTTGAGCTTAGGGAAGCTTTCTCCTAAGCTGTGACGTGCCTTCATTGTCAAATGCATCCATGATATGTCAGCCCTTTCTTTTTTTCCTCCTGAGCTAGCTGGGGTTCTCAAGTTGATTCTTGCGGCTTCATGGCCACATAAAAGGAAGATCATGTCTATTGAGAATTTTCAGGGGAGGAGAGAGAGGTAAGTTGGGAAAACCTGACTTTTGGAGAAAAGAGATGTGGAGGGCCTGGGCAGCCCACAACAGACAAGGTCCACCTTGCCATTAGGATATGGAGAAAGTTTAGAAAAGTCTTAAGGAAAACATGAAATCAGAACAAGGGCAGGGCCAGACTGTCTCCCATCTTCAAGTCCCTAACATATAGCTCAAGACCATGTGATGCAGGCCCTGAGCATTACTCAAGTCAGTGCTGCTGGAACCAGTGAGGTAGGTCAGAGTACCTGGTACCCAAGGAAGTAAAAGTATCTCACCCATGGTCTCACAGCTAGGAGCTTTTTCTTCCATATACTTTGACTTCCCTGGTGGCCCTAATCTTGAACTTTTGACATATAGACTCCTATCCCTCACTACCAAACTCTTGACTCAGAATACATGCTGTTGAAATCTAGAACAATACCAAGCATATGGTAATATGACCTTAGTTAAAATGTGCTGGATAAACATAACACAGTAACTCTTAAGAGTCAAGCATACCTTCCTGGTTAGTAACCAACAGCTCTCTAATTGGACTTAAGGCCAATCCAACAAGGGGTAAATGATGCCTGATACCAGAAACCTAGCTCCCTACTCAGTGCTAATGAATTCATGGCTATTGGAGGAGGATTGACAGCCACCAGTCCACTAAACCGGCATAACATGTATCTTTACAACCACAGATAAGTGCAGTCTTCAGACCTCATCAAGGAAACTGCTCTTTGCAACAGATGGAGACTATTACAGAAAACCACAACCAATCAAATTGTAGAGGTGTGGATCCCAGTTCCAGTTCTACATCTACAACACACCCCCATACCCAAGGCTCAGGGAACATTGAGGAAGAGGAGGCAGAAATGTTGTAAGAGCCAGAGGATCAGGAAGTTTGCTGTGAAATTGTGTCTCCTAGTGAAAACAGAAGCTATACCCTAAAGTATCACCAATATGACTGCCCAAATGTCCACTGAGCAAGGTTGACACCAACAAACCTGCCAAGTAGATGGGGAAAAGCCTACAAGACCTAAATCCTAACAAAGAACTACAGAAAACATGCATACAACTAACATTATATGGACTGAACAGGAAATATATATATATATATATATATATATATATATATATATATATATATATATATATGCATGTAACAACAAATAATGAAAAATAGACTAAATCTGAAAGAGAACATGAGAGGTATATGTGAAGGTTTGGAGGAAAGAAAGGGAGAAATGATGTAATTATATTATAATCTCAAAAATAAAAGAAATAAAAAAATAATAAAATGTCCTGTATAAAGGGATTTTGGGTACGCTCACCAAGTTTTAGCTTTTTCATGGTAGAAGATATTAACCACACATAGCTGGGTGTGCTGGCACATGCCTATAATTCCAAACCTTGGGAGGTAAAGGGAGGAGAATCAGCAGCTCAAGATCATCCTTGACTTCATATGAGTTTGAGGCCAGGTTGAGGTTGGTAGAACCTTGTCTCCAAAAAACAGAACAAAACAAAAACCCAAAACATACATCTATATAGAAAGAATTACTCATATTTATTTTCTGTGGGGTTTGAAAAGCCTATCACATGGGGCTGGTCCCTGAAGCTGTTCCATGGTACTAGACTTTGGCAGTTGGGAGTGCAATGGGAACTAATAGGCTTTGAGGTGAAGAGCATGAGTTCTTAGAGTGTGGAGAGACCGTACACAACAATGCAGAACTTTGCTGCTATGCAGGGACAGTTGCCTCTGAGAGATGCCTTCAGCTTAGTGGGCAGGAGGAAAGAAAATCCAGGAAGGTGGTTAAGTGGAGCTGTTCCTCACAAGTCTCTCAATGTCTGAGGCCACTGGGCATGAAGTGTAGTGAAGGAGTCTCAGGAGTAGTGGTTGGACAAGGGATCTGAAAGGGTCCAGGGTAACCCAGATGGGGTTTTCAGGATCCCTGGAAGCATGGGTCACTGGGTTGGTTATTAGAGCAGGTCAGCACACTGGCTTCCAGTGCCTGGTTTAAGCAAGAATGACCAAACCTTCCTGTTGCCTGAGACTGAGTAGTTGTCCAGGATCAAGAGCTTGCTGGACTAACCTGTTATGACCTGGGGCAAAGGATAACAATGAGTCTTTCCAGCTTATGCTCTTACCATTGTTTCTTCTGCGTCATAAGTTTGCTGCCCACAGATGTCCACACTACATTCAGAGGGATTGCTATCAAAGATGGTTTTTACAAAATGAAAACCAAAGTGAGCAAACAGCAGCAGCAGCAGCAGAAGCAACTGCTCTTTAAGCCAAGTCTCAGCACCAAGAAAACTGGGGCAGGAGAATTGTAAAGTTGAGGTCACCCTGGGCTATACAATGAATTCCAGGCTAGCCTGATTTACACAGTGAATTCCAGATCAGCCTGGCCTATCTAATAAGATCTTGTTGCAATGGAAATTAAGAGAATAAAATAAAAAAAAAACAACAACAAAAACATTCTTACTGTATCATTGGCTCATTTCAAACTTTTGAAGATGCTGTTGCCTTGGAGATAAACTCTAAGCCCCAGAGCCTGGGCTTGGGCTCCTTTTTACATGCATATTTGTCCTCCTTAAAGGTCTCATTTCCAGCCACATTTGATGATGCATGCTTGCAATCTCAGCATTCAGAAAACTGAGACAGGAGGATCACTGCAAGGTCTAGACCCTCCTGGACTACATAATGAGACCTTATCTTTTATTGTAAGGGTTCATTTTCCTTCAATTTTGAAAACTCCATATCACATATAGCCTTGTTCCTCAATCTGCTCTGAGTTGGGCCTCTTTTTGTCAACGGCAGTCTCAGATCAGTCTGACTGCTATCCACCTTCCAGGGTTCAGTGAAAATGTTATTCCCTGAGACACCACGCTCTCTGAGTCCCCAAGGCACATTATATGTACTTTTGAAAGAACACATCCTAAAGATTTAGGCTGTGTGCCTAGACCCTATCTTAATAGCCAGGATCTAGTGCCATACTTGGTAGACAATAAGCCTTCAGTATGTGTGGTATGAGCAGCCAGTGTGCTATGAGACTCAGAATTCAAGAGGGCCTTCAATGGAAAGCTTCCTTTTCACTCCTAACCTGTAGCATCCTTACCATCCTTCCCCTTTTAGTGCTACTTTATTGGTATATAAGCAAATCAGGCCACATGCCTGACCATACACTAATATTATGGACTAACCTGTGGTCAGTAAGGCAATAGAATTACTTCAAGGTGCACTGTTGCATTATTTACTAAGCTTCCAAAGAGAAGGTACAGTGAGCTCTATTTGGCAGAAGAGCAATCTCCTCAGAACAGGCTGAAATGCTCCATTCGTCTGCCAGCTATGGCGATGG